CAGTAAGAAAGCATTATTTTGTTCACCAGGCAATCTACAAACAGCCTTTAGTAACATCAGGAATGGATTCAACTAAGGCTGCATAATATCAGGAAACCCTGCTATGTGTGATACCAGCTCTTAATATTTCAATGATGATATGACTTGTGATAAATGAACTAATACTTGAGTGGGCAGTCAGTGTTTCTTGTTCAGAACAAAAATAAAAAAACAAAACAAAAAAATAACATCTGTAGTGTTAGAAGCGAAACAACAAACTGAATTTCATTTTTGATAATGCTTTCAAATTGGACAGACAGATAAACTCAGTGGTGAAATCGAGTTTTTTTTCTCAAGACTTATTGCTAAGGTGAAGCCATATCTCCCAATCAAAGACCTTGAAAAAGTGATTCATGCTCTTATTACATCTGCTGATACTTGTGTTGGATTATTGTAATTCTTTGTATGTTGGTTTAGATAAATCTTCTCTGCATCGATTACAAGTTGTCCAGAACGCAGCAGCTCGCCTTTTAACAGGAACCAAAAAATATGAACACGTATCACCGGTTTTGGCTTCTCTCCACTGGCTTCCTTTTCATTTTAGGATACATTTAAGATTTTATTGCTTACTTTTAAAGCTTTAAAAGGTCTGGCCCCATCCTACCTGTGTGATCTCATTAACATCCAACTTCAGTCAGAGCACTTCGGTCCAACCAGTTTCTCGTTCCCTAGATCTAGACTAAAGTTTAGAGGTGATCAGGCCTTTGCAGTTTCTGCCCAAAACCTTTGGAATGGTTTACCTCTTAACATTGAGACTTTTAAGCTAACCCATCGGGCTAGAATGGACTTTGGAGCTGCCTGTGTGTAATGTTTGCTAATGAAAAAGTCGAGGCGGCTGTTGTAGAGTGGTTAGGGGAGTCGACCTGGAACCGGAAGGTCRCYRGTTYGATTCCCGTCCAGTCGACTCAGTCGTTGTGTCCTTGGGCAAGACACCTTACCCGCCTTGCCTACTGATGGTGGTCAGAGGGTCCGGTGGCGCCTGTGTATGGCAGCCTCGCCTCTGTCAGTGCGCCCCAGGGCAKCTGTGGCTACAATTGTAGTTTGCCATCATCAGTGTGTGAATGTGTGTGTGCATTGGTGAATGTCTGCAGTGTAAAGCGCTTTGAGTGTCCCTGATGGATAGAAAGGCGCTATATAAGTACAGTCCATTTACCATTTAAATCTCTGCTTAAAACTCATTTTTACTCCCTGGCCTTTCATTCTGGTAGAGTTTGAGATTATTTTAGAGCTAATGTTTTTAATGTTCTTTTTCTCTATTTTAAATTGGTCTTATCGTTTACATTTGTGTTGCTTTGTTGTTTTATTCATTTGGCTGAATTGCGAAGCACTTTGGTCAACTTTTGTTGTTTTTATGTGCTATATAAATAAATTGACATTGAATTGAACTGCAATACAGTTTCTTAATGACTTTAAAACATCACCACCATAATACATTAACTGATGCTCTGAAATAATACTGAAAAATGCTGCATATTATTTTAACAAATAACATCTGAAAATATGGTAAAGAATTTTAAGTAAAAGTTAAAAACCTAAATCCAACTACCAATTCTCTCATTGCAGCTTAAAAATAATTTCCACTGACAAAGTGATTATGATTTGATGTGGTATCTCAGGTCTGTCTTTTTTAAATCAGACTGATAGTTTATGCAGTTTTCTGCTATATGAATATTGCATAGGCTATTATCACGACGACAATAAATTAATGATATATTGTGCAGCCATAGATTCAACCAAGTAAGACCTTATCTAGTATCTGTCTGAGTAGTCCCGTGTTAAAGTTTACAGGCCACCTTAGATCTTAGTGTTGTGCAGCAAGTTCAGACACCAGAAATAAAGTTACTACCGGAGCAGCTGAAAAGTACTTTCTTCCATGCATTAGAAAAACAACCTGTTAGTTACACCTTTCAAGCATTAGCAGGGTGTGCAAACAGAGAACCCATTTAGGTACTTAACCCAGGAAAACTTAGGAAATTGGTGGTAAAACAACACAAGACTTGTTAAATATTGACTTGCAATTATTTTTCTGAAAAGCACTTAAAAAGAAAAAAGGCTTTATTGTGAGTCATGTCATYAAATCTCTTCTGCTCAACTCTACAACCTACTACAAAATAGCTAAACTTTAAGCACCAGTTGTGTTTGGATTAAATTAATTTGTTTATACAAAATAAAATTAAAAGATTTAACACTTTCTGTATCAAAYGGAAACTTAAAAATGTCAAATGATCAAAATCAAATACACTTTGTAATACAAGAGGCAGAACAATAAAGTCAACGAGGTGTGAAAGAGACCTGGCACTACACAAGGAGAAATGCATGTAATTAGTACTTATCTGACTTTAAATGTAATCTCTGACTGCATTAAGTTGTCTAAAATTTAACTAAAAGATAAAAAAGCACTGTAAATTAAAATTAAAATCTGAATTCAAGCTCCCCCAGGAGATAAAATAGAGTAAATCTGTGGATTTAGACGCATTTGTCTGCTAACCTTTTGTCCCAGTTTATCACATCAAATTGTAATCATTATCTCTGTGTGACTGCAGACGCCCAAATCACAAAATCTGCTTAAATTTCTTCTGTCAAATGAAAACAATCCTTTGCTAACATCTTTTCCTGATAAGACCCAAGAATTGCATTAGCAATTACAACCCTTGTGTAAATAGGACAAGTGCTGCAAATAATTATTAACCATTCCTCATCTTCCTCCTCCTAAAAACCAACAAAATAAGCTTGTTTCATCTGTACGCAACATCTCTGTAACTTCCTGTACAAACCTACAATATAACCACAAAAATAATACTTGAATTAGCTGTRCATTGCATGGAAAACTTTAACCAAATGTCTTTATTTATCAGCTTGTTCAGACTAATAGCATGTGCTTCTAAATCATACATTCAGGGTCATTAATGATGCTCTTAAAATACACTACAATATTAACAAGCAGCAGCTGTTTGAGGCATTCACTGAAAGTTTCAGAGGTCAATTCTGGTGTTTTTTTAAGCCTTCTTGAGCTGACTCAGTCACACTGTCATAACTTGCATTTCAACCAGAATTGAAAGCTGATGCCAGCTTCACACAGCACAATTTGGTGTTTCCCAAGAATTTCCTTATGGTTTCAAACATGAAGGCCTCGGTGCATAAATGTTATCTATTTTCAAGCCCCTGCACAAGCAAGAGGTTGAACCCTTACAGCTCAGGCTGTGGATGTCATTTTAACTCCATGCTGCTGAACACAGTGACCACCTGTTTATAGCAGACAGAGTTAAACCATTATCTGGCATAACTGGGTGTACGACTGGGTTCGTTCACTGGCAGCCTGAAAAACAGGCTTCCGTTTATAATTGTTTAAAGTGACATACTGGTGAAGGCGGCCATCCTTTCTGTAAATCAGTGTATGTTGTGCACTCATAACAAGGAAGCAGGCAGCAGTTTTCCCAAATATAAAATCCACATGTGCAATATTTGGAGAGCAGCTGCTGTCAGGTTATAACATAGCATGATAATTCGGCGTGTTGCACAGAATTACCAGCTGCACAAACAGTTTAGCAAACTTAGAAAATGTCAAACTGGGCTTCCAACTATCTAGTATTTAAAACAAAAATGATASCCTACAAATATGCTTCATACAGCATGCATACTTTCACGTTACAAGCCGATCTGAGGTACATCTGTACGGATAGGTGGTAAAATATTTCCACATCATACTGTGTGTAAACACTCCAACCAAAGACACAAAAGGTTCGCTAACGATGCGGTGCACACCTTTACATCGAGTGTCGCGACATAACAGAAACCACTTCCAGAAACTGATTGCTTCTTTTGTATTTAGATTCGCTCTTTTACGAATCTCGTTTTCTTTTCTAAGTGTTTGACTTTCCTAGCGTGCTTCTCGAGTGTTACAAAAAGGATGCACCGACTGCACAGTCCCTTGTTCTTTCGCAAAGACTCATCGCCATGATGTTATTATCTGTGTAAAGGTTACTGCACCGGCCTGAGCACTAAGAGACGGTCCTGCCTCGGTGCTACCACCAGCTAACCGATCGGGCTAGAATGGACTTTGGAGCTGCCTGTGTGTAGTGTTCGCTAACGAGAAGCTTTTTTTTTTTTTTTTTGCGCTACTAAGATTTTTGTTCGGCCGCTTGCGGTCGTTTCGCTTCGTTTTGCGCAAAATGACACMGGCGAGCACATAGAAAAGACATGTAGGTTTTTAAGATGTTTCACGATACCTTCCTAGGCCTCTCAGCTCTGCCGTGGTATGCTGCTGAAAACAGTCCGTGTTGGGGACGTGGAGAGCTGGGACCAAAGATGGCGTCCCCTCCAAAGTTCCACTACTTTGGATTCTCATCAAGCTACTTTTTATCTGTTCGACGCTGCGGCGCGCGCGCTCACGCACGCTGGGAAATTAACCGACCGGCGTACCTTATTTCTTTCATTTACACAGGTACTCCGGCTGCCAGTGAGTGAAAATGGGGAATTATTTCGGTTTTTCAGGGCACGAACCTCCTCAGACCTCAGTAGCACAGCGTCCGGGGGCACCTCTCTCTCTCTCTCTCCCCGTCTTCGAAACGTCACGCAGCGCGTGTGCAAAATTCTTCTTATCGCGAGGATGATTCAGGCTTTCTGAACGTGCGCGACGACGTGAAAAATCATGATTGATAACTTTATGCATAAATCAACCCAAAACATGAACTGAAGCAACTTTGAATATCGACAAAAGCAACATCACAAGGGCACCATAAAGGAGAAAACAGTCTAATAATCAAAGTTTTATTACTATTTAGGGCACTTTCATATAGTTGCTCATTATAATAAAATACTCACAAATTCTGCTTTGGAGTCTTAAGCATTGATTAAAATGACAAGCAAAGTTTGACAAAAAATATCAATGATCTATATTAACTTTTTTCCTCAAACAACATTTACAACAAAMAATACATTTCAATATAACAAATACACCACAGTTATTAAAAATGTTTTATTTATTGCCTAAAACTCATTTTGTTGCAGTACACATTTTATAAAACATTTCAAGAACAAATAAAAACTTGTTCAGTTACTGAGGGGTGTTGGTGTTATGAAGAAGAATGTGGCTTTCTATATTTGCTCTGCATCCAAACTCGATGCATCACAACTTTCTTTCCTCGGTTCACTTGTAGCCGTCTGTCCACCAGGTTCTGAACTTCCTCCAGTCCGGCTTTGGTGAACAAATCATGAACCTCTTCTGTAAAAAAAACCATGCAGTTAAACTTTTATTTTTCTCATTGTAGATTTAGCTTTCAAAACTAAATACAAACAAAAAGTGATGATATTGAAATTATATTCTTGCCTCTGTGTGTTTGTTTGTCAGTCTGTCCTGATGCATCTCAGTAATCCAGGTAAAAAATCAAAAAGAAAAAAATTGTATAGGTCTTCTGGACGGGTTCTTCTCTAATGAAACGTTTCGTCTCTCCTCCAAGAGACTTCTTCAGTCTGAGAGTTTCAGGCAAAATTCAGGCTTTTAAGCCCGCCTCCATGTGACTGATACTCACATCACATGGCTATCGTTCACACCTAATTAATACSTATTGTTAACAGGGGGTGGAGTGATACTGGCAATGGCCGCGCTGTAGGAGGGGGACAACTGAAAACGGAGGCCTCCACCTCTGTTTAATGAGCCACACAGACCAATATTTGCGTTTTGACTCCCACCACCCACTGGAACACAAGTTAGGAGTGATCAGGACTCTGTACCACAGAGCAGACAGTGTCCCTACAAACCCAGGAGCCAGGGAGAAAGAGAAATCACACACACGACAGGCCCTGGAGCAGTGTGGTTATCCTGACTGGGCTTTCCTGAAAGCAGACAGGAAACACAGACAGGATTCCATGCAACCTTCAGGTGAAAATGAAGACCCCAAACCCAGACCCAAACCAGTGCTTATTCCGTATGTTGCGGGTGTTTGGGAGAAACTGAGACGTTTATTTTCTAAACATGATGTCCCAGTGGCTTTCAAACCCCAAAACACATTACGGCAAAGGCTGGTTCACCCCAAAGATCCGGTGCCCCGGCACAAACAGAGCTATGTTGTATATGCTGTTAAGTGCCAGGAGGACTGCGACCAGTTATACATCGGGGAAACAAAGCAGCCACTGTTCAAAAGAATGTCCCAACACAGACGAGCTACATCTAATGGCCAGAACTCTGCAGTTTTCACTCATTTACAGGCCAGCGGTCACTCTTTCAGAGATGAGGATGTTCTCATTCTTGATAGAGAGGAACGTTGGTTTGAGAGAGGAGTAAAAGAAGCCATTTTTGTGAAGAAAGACCGTCCATCATTAAACAGAGGTGGAGGCCTCCGTTTTCAGTTGTCCCCCTCCCACAGCGCGGCTATTGCCAGTATCACTCCACCCCCTGTTAACAATAAGTGTTAATTAGGTGTCAACGATAGCCATGTGATGTGAGTATCAGTCACATGGAGGCAGTGCTTAAAAGCCTGAATTTTGCCTGAAACTCTCAGACTGAAGAAGTCTCTTGGAGGAGAGACGAAACGTTTCATTAGAGAAGAACCCGTCCAGAAGACCTATACAATTTTTTTTTCTTTTTGTTTGTCAGTCTATTAGTAAAATATCTCACAAACTACTTTACACTAGTCACCAAAACATAACGTAAGTGGTATGCTTTTGTTGGGTTTGCAAACACTAAACATATTGAGATTAGTACCTTTTGTGAAAAAATAAACGCAGGTTCCATGTCCACGTGTGTAGAAATTGTCTGATAAGCACCGTCCTGGTTGCAAAAAYGGAAGAAAAAAAACCCTCAATAACCAGTTACATTAAACTTTAAATTGATAGCCATACAAACAATATTAGACATATTAACATTGTAACATTAAATATGTTACAGTACACAACAAATTAGTCTCACCCTCCTTAATCCTGAGTTGAGAGAAGTCGTATCTTCCATAATCCCGGAAGAGGAACACCCCTCCTGGTTTCAAGTAGGTAGATAGTCGGTTCACAACTCCTTGCATTCTGCAAATCAAATGAAAATGAACATTAATTATCCTGTATTGTTATGTTGAATGTTTACAAATAAAAAAACGTATACAAGCAGGAAGCATTGACTGAACAGAATACTAAAATATGTGCAYGCTTCAACACATCAAACCATTACAGAGCTAATATAAAGCACTTAGCTGATTTTATATTCTCTGTATAAAGTTTGGAGAAATGAAGGTGGGGTGTGGAGGGGGTCTGCGAGTAAGAACATCAGGCTCCTGCTTGTTTTCACCCACCGTTCTGGATGGATGGAGGAGAGCACAAAGACTGYCAAGATGACATCCAGGCTCTGTGGAGGAAAGGGAAAAGAGGCCTCCTCCTCACAAATGTCACGGACAAAGGYGTGACACATTGAGTCGTTGAAATCTGGATGCTCCTAAAAGAGGAAAATAAATTAGGCCACTTCCTCTGAAGTGTCCCTGTCACACAAAGTTACCAGGAAACTTATATTTGCCTTGCATGCAGATCTGAGTGACTTTTTTCTGCTTTTCTTGTAATTAAAAATAATAAATAAATAAATCCTCATTCTGAAATTACATTAAAAGACTCTTATTTACTTTGTGACCATTCTTTTAACTAATGTCTCGCAGGCCAAGTCTTAATGGTTTAAATTTGTCACATATAATGCAAGATCTAATACAAAATAAAACCCTTTGCTGCAAACATTTCAGGTTTTACACTGAATAAAAACAACAAAATCTTGCAACTCTGCAACAACTATTAAAGWTTTTATTTGAACTCTAAAAATCACCTCACTTCTAAGTGCCATCCATCCACTGGTTTGTGAAATGTTTTGCTGACAGAGTTCACTCCAAAAAGTTAATAAATATTAAACAACCTTGAAGAATCTGTTAGTGCTCAGAATATGTGTTGAGGATTTATCTCGGGTACTACCAGACAAAATTTGGGTCAATATCTGTGAAACTGACTGACTTATAGAGTTTTTATTTATTTTAAGGATAGTCAGATGGGACAGTCAACTTGAATCAGGATGCCTCCAAATTAAAGGAAAAAAAAATTGTATAGGTCCTCTGGACGGGTTCTTCTTTAATGAAACTTTTCGTCTCTCTTCCAAGAGACTTCTTCAGTCTGAGAGTTTCAGGCAAAATTCAGGCTTTTGAGTCCTGCCTCCATGTGACTGATACTCACATCACATGGCTATCGCTCACAGGTGACTGATACTCACATCACATGGCCATCGTTCACACCTAATTAATACCTATTGTTAACAGGGGGTGGAGTGATACTGCCAATGGCAGCGCTGTAGGAGGGGGACAGCTGAAAACGGAGGCCCCCACCTCTGTTTAATGACGGACGGTCTTTCTTTACAAAAATGGCTTCTTTTACTCCTCTCTCAAACTATCGTTCCTCCCTATCAAGAATGAGAACATCCTCATCTCTGAAAGAGTGACCGCTGTCCTGTAAATGAGTGAAAACTGGGAGGAACGTTGGTTTGAGAGAGGAGTAAAAGAAGCCATTTTTGTAAAGAAAGACCGTCCGTCATTAAACAGAGGTGGGGGCCTCCGTTTACAGCTGTCCCCCTCCTACAGCGCTGCCATTGGCAGTATCACTCCACCCCATGTTAACAATAGGTATTAATTAGGTGTGAACGATAGCCATGTGATGTGAGTATGAGTCACCTGTGAGCGATAGCCATGTGATGTGAGTATCAGTCACCTGGAGGCAGGACTCAAACGCCTGAATTTTGCCTGAAACTCTCAGACTGAAGAAGTCTCTTGGAAGAGAGACRAAACGTTTCATTAAAGAAGAACCCGTCCAGAGGACCTATACAATTTTTTTTTCCTTTGATTTTTTACCTGGATTACTGAGATGCATCAGGACATGCCTCCAAATGTTTATCAGTTGTAAAAGTACTGCTAATGATTAATTTCTACAAGTTTAATTAAAATCCATTCAGTGGGTCATGAGATATTTTGCTAACAGACAAAAACATACAAACATGCATGACTTTTAACTACTTTTTAAATATTTAAAATACATACCTTAACTAGCTGAATGGCCGAAGGAGAAAAGTCACAACAGTATAAAAATGAGTTTGTTTCTCTGTAAAATAGAAGATTTTTTTTAATTCTTAAATCATAAACTAACAACAAACACTGCAGCTCTGAAGAACTCTGAGCCCCTTTGTTCATTATTATTATTAAAACCAATACATTTTAATGCAGCGCTAATGATAAAAGTTGTAGTATTTTTTTACAGTGTGCTAGTTTCAAACAAATTCCGTATAATCTATAAAATAATACTCACTTGATGGTTTTAACAATAGGAAATACACTGTTTCCAACTCCACATCCAACCTGCAGAGAAAATGCTAAATTTAGTTGGTGTAGTTAAATGGCAGTATTGATTACTTTGCATATGTAAAAAAAAACAATGAATAAATGTAATTTCTTTTGAACCTCCAAGATCCTGAAAGATGCATGTTGTCCTGGGAAAGAAGAGGTTTGTGTAACGGCTTCATTATGCTCCTGCGCTGCWTCCTGAACATAAACCGTGTCTGTTTTTCTGTGGTGGTGAATGGGATCATTGTGTTGAGGGGCTCCCRTCTCCATGTCCATCATGGATCTACTTCCAATTGAGATTCCTGCCTGGTGATCGCTGTGGCTTGCGTTTGAACTCCTTTCCTTCGCACATGATGAAGGAAACAGTTCTGGRAACTCCGTAAACAGCCACCTGCGATCTTTGAAGAACTTATCCTGGTGCTGCTCGTAAAACTTGTCCCAATACTTGCAGGCATCTGTGTCAAATTTACCTAAATGACAAAAAAATCAGGAAAATAAATATTTTCACACAATCCCAGCCTGATGTAATAAAAAATGAAAGTAGTGTGTGTGAGAGAATGGAGTCATGCCTTGTTCTGCTAAAGGGAGTCTTATCCTGGAATTTTCTCCTACTTTCTGACGTGCGTTCTCAGTGTCCTGCTCTGTCCACTGTACATGATCCCTAACAGACAAAACATTACTTTAACAACAATTAACAGGTAATGCATACTTTCAGCTAGAACATTCGTAATTTGTCCTGTATCCTSATTTATTAGACATTTATAAATGAATCTAAAATAAAAAGCAAACATGAAAAGCATTTACATCTTTTGTTACATTGGCATTATATTACAAACCACATGTTGTGATTAAAGATGTCATCTGGATTGGTAAGAATCCTGGAGCCCAGTGGAGCCAYAGGTCTTCCACCGGAGCTCTTAAATCTGATAGATAGTTTAAAGAAGGTAGAAGCCAGTTTGGCTGCAGAGAAGCTCCACCTTTCATGCATTTATTCTGTAAGAAAAGCAGTAAGAGTTCATTTTTACATAAAACAACATCAGTAAGGGAAATAAAAAGCTAACGAAGGCCTAATAAACCAAATAAAACAACCATTAGGAACACTTTTTCATTGTAAAAACAGTCAAGCATAAAAAATATATACAACAAAAGGAAGAGAATAAAGTATAAAGGACAAATTAAATTACGCTACATTTTTGTAACGACATGTTTTTATTAAACCTTAATTTCTCCAGCCAAAACATAAAAATAAATTATTTACAATGTTAGCTTATTTTATTGTTGCAGTTCAATGATGTGAATTTTTTTAACGCACCATGGACAGTAAATCAGCAAAAATTTATAAAATTTTGAAATAATTGCTGTAAATGAGTGCAAATTTAGAAGRACAAATACGAGGCTTTCAACAAGATTTTAAGTTGAAAAAAATAAATATATAGTCATTATGTTTTAATACAAAAGGTTTTTCTCAGTGTTAAAATGCATCCCATCTTTTTACTAAAGCAGTGTTTCCCAAAGTTGGGGTCGGGACCCAAAGTAGGGTCCCGAAACCTCAAGGTGGGGTCCTGAAAAGATTTTCTGAATTAGTTACATTTTTGCCTTAGTTGTTACAAATGAGTGAGGTTAGTATATTTAAAATAGATTACTGTAGTATAAAAATATTGTTACTATGCCCATGTTTTGTTGACCTGATACAAATGTTTATCATCCAAAAATAGCTGGGGGCACAGGTCTCTGCTACTGTTATTTTGTGGGTCAAAAGCTGAAAAGTTTGGGAACCACTGCACTTTGGTTCCCAAAGTTGGGCTTGGGACCCAAAGTAGGGTCCCGAAACCTCAAGGTGGGGTCCTGAAAAGATTTTCTGAATTAGTTACTGTACATTTTTGCCTTAGTTGTTACAAATGAGTGAGGTTAGTATATTTAAAATGTATAAATGTAGTATAAAAATATTGTTACTATGCCCATATTTTGTTGACCTGATACAAATGTTTATCATCCAAAAATTAGCTGGGGGCACAGGTCTCTGCTACTGTTATTTTGTGGGTCAAAAGCTGAAAAGTTTGGGAACCACTGCACTTTGATTCCCAAAGTTGGGCTTGGGACTAGGGATGTCCCGATACCACTTTTTCACTTCCGATACGATACCGATATTACAACTTTGAGAAATGTCCGATACC